ACTGTGCTGTCAGCCCAAAGAGGGAGCTACACGCTCATTGGATTTCTGGCAGTTCAATGGGTATTACACTGTATGTAGAGAGTTTTTAAAGGGATAAGGAATGGGGAAATGTGCATGTACAGTATTGCAGATATGTACCAAATGTTTTTTTGATTTTGCCTAGAAATACTCTTTAACCACAGGGAACTCTGCAATAGGTGTACAAGGCCTGGTGGTGCAGTACGGCTGGAGTGCCTGATTACAAGGCTGGCTCAATAGAAATACAAATGCTTAGACTAGGGTCGTCGGTTCGAATTCCAACCACAGCACCAACCACAGCACCACCTGCCTGGAGTTTGCATGTTCTCCCCTGCAGCTGCGTGGGTTTCCTCTGGGTACTCCGGTTTCCTCGCATACTCCATGCTGGTAAGTTAATTGGCTCCCATCCAAATTGGCCCTAGTATGTGAATGTGAGTTAGGGACCTTATATTGTACGCTCCTTGAGGGTTAGGGACTGATGTGAATGTACAATGTATATGTAAAGCGCTGCGTAAATTGATGGCACTATATAAGTACCTGAAATAATAAATAAATAATAATGGTCTCCAAACTGCGGCCCTTGGGGGCCCCCCCATGACTCCCACTGACACCAAGAATGGGTGTCCTTCCAAAGATACTAACGATTTGTGTAGAAAGTTTGGAGACCCCTGGTCTATGGCATGCAGACTTCCTTCTCTTTGTGTGACCAATTTCCCAAGGCCTCATTCCATCGCTGCCTGGCTAGTCGCAGCTATCCATCATCTTCCTGTCCAACGCAGGACCAGGAGTACTGCCGTGAATGGGAGGATGCCGAGGACAGGAGCAGGTCACCATGCTGGACAATGTGGGCTCTCTCAAGGTGTGTGGTCCAAGCATTAACCGGTCTTCACCAGAGCTCCTGATGGTGGAGATGGGTTTTGCTGTATGCTCAGGATCGCCTCACCAGGAGGTAAGCAAGCTGGGATCTTGTGGCACATGTAGCAGGTGGGGAAGTGTAGCCAGTAAACATGACCAAGGCTGGTAACAAATGGTTGCAGGTTGGGATCAAGTGGAAGCGTAGTCGAGGAACCAGCCAAAGGTCAGTAACAAGTGGTAGCAGAGATACGGACAGCAGCAGGAGAGACTAGAGCAAGATATTGGCTGGAGAGAGCACAATAATCTAGCAAACAAGAAGTGCTGAGGCTTGGCTTAAATCAGGAAGTTCATGGGAGAAGAAAAGGGTGCAAGGTTCTCCAAAAACAAGGCACAAAGCAAGCCTGTCCAAGGAATCAGGCAGGGAGCTATCTCTGGTGGTACAACGAGAAGAGACACAGCCAGACCCTGCAGTGGCTCCAGGTTCAGATCCAGATCCCGACACAAAGTGTGGTTAGCAGAGGAGCCTATTAAATAAAAAAATACCGTGTTTATGAGCGTTTGCGTTTGGAAGCGTTTTTTAAAGATAACCTCAGGAGACCTTCCCAAATGCCCAGAATGCACTGAAAAACAGCAAGACATTAACTATTTCAGACATTTTGAGAGAAATAAAGAGAGTAGAAGCAGAGAGAGCAGTATGTGTTAAGTTTGTGTCTTTTTTTTTCTGGTGTTTGGATGTTCCGGCTCATTTCTGTGCAGAAATTATTGCAGCAATGTCTGACATATTTTCTTTCATGCAAAACCTCAAAGTATGGTGTACCGGGTCCATTTGAGTACCGGGAAAACGCTTTGCATGCATTTTTCATGATAAAAAAGGCTCCGGACAGCATCTGGAAATGGAAGAGTTCAAAAAACTTTCCAAACGCAAACGCTTATAAACGCGGTTAGCCGAGTTTACAAGCGTTTGGCGTTTGAAACGCTGATAAAATCTACTCCTGAACGCAAGTTTGGTGCGTTCAAAAAAGCGACTGTAAACCAGGGGCGGACTGACCATTTGGAAACTCGGGCACTGCCCGAGGGCCTGGGGTCAGTAGGGGGCCCCATGAGATGCCCCTTGTACCTTTTTCATAGGCTTTTTTGAGTTTGGGCAAGGACACAGGGGCCCCATGATCCCCTATTGCCCGGGGGCCCCATGAGTTGTCAGTCCGCCCCTGCTGTAAACTCAACTGCCTGTAAACGACTGTAAACGAAGACGTGTACATAGGAAAACATTAGGGAGAGTTCAGGGGCTGCTGAAAAAAACACAGAAAAGCTCCTAAATGTGAGTTCATCAGCTGCAGTGTACATGGAGCCTAAGTATAAGTTTGCTTAACTCTCTTATCATTGGTGTCATTGTTACCCATCATTTACTTCCCTATTCTAATCTAAAAGAGGGGGAAGTAACAGATAACCCATTCAGAGCCACTTCGCAGGTAAGCCGTCATCTCAGAGTGACATTTTTTTTTAAATGCATAAAATATGTTCTTTAAAAGTGTGGGAAGCACAGTGGCTAAATGATTAGCATTTCTGCCTGGCAGTACTAGGGTCATTGGTTCGAATCCCAACAACAGCATCACCTGGAGTTTGCATGTTCTCCCTGTGCCTGCGTGCGTTTCCTCCAGGTACTCTGGTTTCCTCCCACACTATGAAGACATGCTGGAAGGTTAATTGGCTCCTGCCTAAATTGTCCCTAGTATGTGTATGTATGAATGTGAGTTAGGGACCTTAGTTTGTACACCCCTTGAGGGTTAGGGACTGATGTGAATGTACAATATATATGTAAAGTGCTGTGTACATTTGACGGCGCTATATAAGTACCTGAAATAAATAAATAAGAAAAGTGAAAAGTTTATGCTTCATGTTGCTGATCAAATTTTAGCTCAAACTTTTCTACTGCATTTTCAATTTTTATGTGGATACTCTTTTACCTTTTCTTTTTTTAAGATAATCAATGAGAACTAGTCATGACCTATGAAAAAATGTGAACATTTAGTCTTGAGTTATCATAAATCTGCAGGGTAACCTAAGAAAGATTTACATTTCCCTCATTATTTGGGTCAATTTATGGTGACAATGGCTCCAGGACCCTCTACCCTAAAAAAGAAATACATTGGTGGGGGTTAGAATATATGCCAATCAGTTTGCTAAAGCACTATGTATTATAGATAATTGCCATTTAAAAAAAACATATTTGTTTTCACCATTTTTGTCCTTTGTTGCATCTCAGTGCTGCTGCTCTGCTGCAGCTTTTTTTTATTATTATTATACAGTATTTATATAGCGCCAGAAGGTTTGCGCAGCGCTGTACATTATAGTGGGGGACAGTATATGAGACAATATAGTAACAATACAATACACGAGGGTTCGAGGGCCCTGCTCTTTCGAGTTTACAATCTAGGAGGGAGGGGATAGAGGTACAGAAGGAAGTGGCTGTGGGGGATGGAGTGGTAGGAGGAGTGGAGATCGACTGTTAGGTGAGGGTGGGGTAGGCTTCCCTGAAGAGATGGGTTTTCAGGGTGTGCCTAAAGGTGAGGAGGGTAGGTGACAGTCTGATGGATTGGGGTAGTGAGTTCCAGAGGATGGGGGAAGTCCTAGAGAAGTCCTGCAGTCAGGCGTGGGAGGAGGAGACCAGAGAGCTAGAAAGTAGGAGGTCCTGTGAGGAGCGAAGATGACGGGTAGGATGGTATTTGGGTATCAGGTCGGTGAGGTAGTTTGGGGCAGCTTTTGCAGCTACTTCCTGTTTACATGCACTCCAGTGATGGCTGCATGGCAATTCTCAGGTCGGATGTGGAACATAGCCCTGCAATATGTTTGGACATGGCCGCTTGAGGTCTCCATCGGAGAGTGTATGACGGTGAAAATGCAGGAAAATAACTGTGGCACAGGGACAGTGCAATGTCACCCTATAATAGGAAATGCTTGAACAGGGACTTCCATGGCATTTAAATGATTGATACAGATTTAGAGCCAGTTCACACTATAGAAATGCAGTCCAGATGCATTCCGCGCATTTTTGGCGCATTCCAGTGCGTTTATGATGTGTCCCAGTGCGTTTTTATGCATTCCAGTTAATTTAATTTTTACAAAGTGTTTTTTCAAAAGAATACAGCAGGGAGACATGGATGGATGGATGGATGAGCTTGCTTTGAATATTAAAAAATGAAATATATAAAGTGTCTGGTTTGTCATGCTCTGAAACAGTTAAAGTGTTACTAAACCCAGGAACCTGCATTCACTATATCCGCTCTCCCCGGACCCTGCATTCACTATATCTGGACTCTGCATTCACTATATCCGCTCTCCCCGGACCCTGCATTCACTATATCTGGACTCTGCATTCACTATATCCGCTCTCCCCGGACCCTGCATTCACTATATCTGGTCTCCCCGGACCCTGCATTCACTATATCCGCTCTCTCCGGACCCTGCATTCACTATATCCGCTCTCCCCGGACCCTGCATTCACTATATCCGCTCTCACCCGGACCCTGCATTCACTATATCTGGACCCTGCATTCACTATATCCGCTCTCCCCGGACCCTGCATTCACTATATCCGCTCTCCCCGGACCCTGCATTCACTATATCTGGTCTCCCCGGACCCTGCATTCACTATATCCGCTCTCCCCGGACCCTGCATTCACTATATCCGCTCTCCCCGGTCCCTGCATTCACTATATCCGCTCTCCCCGGACCCTGCATTCACTATATCTGGACTCTGCATTCACTATATCCGCTCTCCCCGGACCCTGCATTCACTATATCTGGACTCTGCATTCACTATATCCGCTCTCCCCGAACCCTGCATTCACTATATCTGGTCTCCCCGGACCCTGCATTCACTATATCCGCTCTCTCCGGACCCTGCATTCACTATATCCGCTCTCCCCGGTCCCTGCATTCACTATATCCGCTCTCCCCGGACCCTGCATTCACTATATCTGGACTCTGCATTCACTATATCCGCTCTCCCCGGACCCTGCATTCACTATATCCGGTCTCCCCGGACCCTGAATTCACTATATCCGGTCTCCCCGGACCCTGCATTCACTATATCTGGTCTCCCCGGACCCTGCATTCACTATATCCGCTCTCCCCGGACCCTGCATTCACTATATCTGGACTCTGCATTCACTATATCCGCTCTCCCCGGACCCTGCATTCACTATATCCGGTCTCCCCGGACCCTGCATTCACTATATCCGGTCTCCCCGGACCCTGCATTCACTATATCCGCTCCCCCCCGGACCCCTGCATTCACTACAATCCGCTCTCCCCGGACCCCGCATTCACTACAACCGCTCTCCCCGGACCCCGCATTCACTACAACCGCTCTCCCCGGACCCCGCATTCACTACAAATCCGCTCTCCCCGCACCCCGCATTCACTACATCCGCTCTCCCCGGACCCCGCATTCACTATATCCGCTCTCCCCGGACCCGCATTCACTATATCCGCTCTCCCCGGACCCCGCATTCACTATGTCCGCTCTCCCCGGACCCCGCATTCACTATGTCCGCTCTCCCCGGACCCTGCATTCACTATATCCGCTCTCCCCGGACCCTGCATTCACTATATCCGCTCTCCCCGGACCCTGCATTCACTATATCCGCTCTCCCCGGACCCTGCATTCACTATATCCGCTCTCCCCGGACCCTGCATTCACTATATCTGGACTCTGCATTCACTATATCCGCTCTCCCGGACCCCGCATTCACCATAACCGGTCTCCCGGACCCTGCATTCACTATATCCGCTCTCCCCGGACCCTGCATTCACTATATCCGCTCTCCCCGGACCCTGCATTCACTATATCCGCTCTCCCCGGACCCTGCATTCACTATATATCCGCTCTCCCCGGACCCTGCATTCACTATGCATTCACTATATCCGCTCTCCCGGACCCTGCATTCACTATATCCGGTCTCCCCGGACCCCGCATTCACCATAACCGGTCTCCCCCGGACCCTGCATTCACTATATCCGGTCTCCCCGGACCCTGCATTCACTATATCCGGTCTCCCGGACCCTGCATTCACTATAATCCGGTTTTCCCCTGCTAAATTCCTATATTTCTCGGATGCATTCACTATATCCGGTCTCCCGGACCCTGCATTCACTTCCATCGGACCCTGTATCCGCTCTCCCCGGCTGGCATTCAGTGGTTGCACCCCGCTATGTAGGAGAAGTTTTAATTCTCCTCTGACTGTCCTGCAGGACCCCCCATGACCCTCTGTCTCCCCTGGGACAGTTCTGACTAGCCCTGTGTAGATCACATCCGCCTCCCACAAAAAAACATGGAAAAAAACTCTTTAGCAATTCACATAAACTGAGCAGTATATTGTGCAGAGTGCCTCCTAGGGCTCCATACTATCAGCAGAAGGATTGGAAACAGTAAAAGAAGGGGAGTGCCTCCTACTGGCTCCATACTATCAGCAGAAGGATTGGAAACATCAGAGAGACAGGATCAAACAGCCTTTTTGCACAATGTGAATGCAGAGGATTAACAGCCCCTTAGGTGCCACAGTGAGTATAACAAGCATGTTTTACTGCATATACAGACTGATTGTACTGTTGTGGGTTTATTAACACTTTAGGCTCTGCTGTAAAACCATATGAGCATTGGATTTATATATACTTAGTTATACAATAGTAACTGAAGATTCACACCTACTGAGAAAACAGTATAAGCTCCCCTTGTGATTGAGTTACTAAAGGAATCATTCTCATTGTTGGTAAAGTGCACCTTTGTACTTAAACATCCAATCATCTGAAGTTTTTTTTTTTATTCCAATTTCCTCCTCCTGCAGGTGATTGGCTGCTTGAAGCAAGCAATTCTCCCAGGGTGAAAATGACATCTTTGGTTAACCAAACACAATAAGTGCAGGTGTTGAGCAGATGCTGGGTGTGTCACATAATGACAGGTCAGAGTACTGAGCTGTAATTGTATATTGAGCAGCAGCATCATATGTACACATGGATTCTTCTATGGAGGAAAGATCTAAAATTGCATTACAGTACCTGGAATAAATAAACAATTACAGGCTGAACAGAGACCGTCTGTAGGAAGTGACACCGAACAGCCACAACATTATGACCACTGTGACAGTAGGCAGGTGAAATCACCTGGTTGCGTCCTGGATGGACGATATATTTGTTCGAGGTTCAGGCTTTATGGGGATTTGTACCACTAGAGGGAAGTGCTGAGTCCTTCAGCACTGAGGTAATGAGCCCAGCTGAAGGTAGTGGGCTCATTAAACACCTCTATAAAACCTCCCAGAGTGCTTAGGGAGTTGCTCCACCCTGGAACCAGATCTGTGCCTGAACTGTCTGGGGAGCTGACCTGTTACCTGTGTGCAGAGAGACCAAAGCCTGTGTGGCTAGCCTCCAAGTACTAGCAACTAGGTATAGCAGCAGGCTGTACCTAGTGGGTAGCTAGGGAGAAGCTGTTGTTGCAGTAAGTAGCCAAGTTTGGCCAGGATTTTATTTTGATGTTTCTTTTTGTTTATCATTTTTTCTGTAAATATTGTAAATAAATTGCACCTGTTTGTTTTCACCTCCACTATTGTTGTGCTGTGCCTATTTTTTTTGTGTTGTGCACCCATCCAGGGGGTCACACACACCCGCTGCCGAGCTAACCCTGTTACACCACGGACAGGTTAAATTATTTATTTATTTCAGGTACTTATATAGAACCATCAAATTACGCAGCACTTTACATATATATTGTACATTCACATCAGTCCCTAACCCTCAAGGGGCATACAATCTAAGGTCCCTAACTCACATTCATACATACACATATTAGGGACAATTTAGACAGGATCCAATTCACCTCCCAGCATGTCTTTGGAGTGTGGGAGGAAACCCACACAGGCACAGGGAGAACATGCAAACTCCAGGCAGGTGGTGCCATGGTTGGGATTTGAACCGACGACCCTGGTACTGCTAGGCAGAATAGCTAACCACTTAGTTAACCTCTTGCCGTCCGCCTGCTGTTTATAAACGGCAGGGCGGTGGCACTCCAGGGGCGGGTTGCCGTTCATAAACGGCACCCGCCTTTTCTAGCTGTGCACGCTCCCTGGGAGCGCGCAGCACCGCGATCCGGTGCCCGCTGTGTCCTCCGGACACAGTGAAACACCGATCGTCGGACGGGACCTCTGTGCGAGGTCCCGATCATGTGATCACTGATTGGCGAATCAGTGATCACATGCAAAGTAGTAAGCAAGATGTCACTTGTGACATCATTGCTTACTACGTGTGAAATCTGTGAATGATCACAGAGGTCACATTGTACAAAGCTATTCACAACAGCCTTGTACCATGTGACAAGGTGTGACCAATCACAGCTCACTCAGTACTTCTCAATGACTGCAAGAATGCAGACAGAGAGAAAGCGAAATGATTGCTTTTACATCCTATATGGGTGTAAAAGCAATCAGTGTAAAAAAAAAAAAAAATCTTCATCACCGCCCACAAGTAGTACAGTGTCACCATGGTGACACTGTACTGCTAGGGTGACAGTATGTAAAAAACAAAAAAATAATAGAAAATATTATAAAAAGAATAAAATAAAAATGTAAAAAAAAATGTTTAAAATTTATAATTTTTGGTTATAAACTAATTTGGATTTTTTTTTTTTTTACTAAAAAAAATAACGGAATAAATTTTGGCCAAGATTTATGATGAAATATTATTTATTTGCAAAATTTTATTTAAAAAAACACTTTTTTTCAAAATTTTTGGACTTTTTCATTTACATAGTAAAAAAAATAAAAATCCCAGCGGTGAATAAATACCACCAAAATAAAGCTTTATCTGTCTCAAAAAAGTGGTAAATAAATTCATATGGGTACAGTATTGCATGACCGCGCAATTGTCATTCAAAGTGTGATAGCGCTGAAAGCTGAAAATTGCCCTGGACAGGAAGGGGGTAAAAGTGTCCGGACAGGAAGTGGCTAAATGAATAATTATCTTGTATTTGAAAGTTTATGGGATATATTAGGCAGCAAGTAAACATGTTGTCCCTGAAGTTGATGTGTTGTAAGCACAAAAAAATGGGCATCACAGTTTTTTTATGCATGGGGCTGCTTTGCAGCAGACCAGTCAGGGTGCCCATGCTGACTGGTGTCCACAGCCAGAGGTGCCTACAATGGGATTGTGAGCATCACAATTGGACCACAGCACAATGGAAGAAGGCGGCCTGGTCTGAGGAATAATGTTTTCTTTTACATCATGTGGATGGCCGGGTGCGTGTGTGTCACTTACCTGGGGAAGAAATGGTACCAGGATGTAGTATGGGAGGAAGGCAAGTCGGTGGAGGCAGTGTGATGCTTTGGGCATTTAACTTTTACAGAGCAGGGGGGTCACTACTGCATGGGTGGATTTTTTTTAAATTCTTGGGGTTGGGCTTTAAATGAAGGATCAGTTCCAAGAAAAGCACAGCCTCTTACGCTTGGTTCACACCTATGCACTTTTGGTCCATTTCTGCAGTGCTTTGTTTTGGCCAATGCAAATAGAAAAACAAAAAGGGGCGCACCGACTTAGTGCATTATCGTTTTAAAATATTTATTGAAAGAACAAGGTAAGTATTATACTTACAATGAATATAAAAACACAGGCATATCACGCCGAACAGGATAATAAATCCAAGCAGCATCTGAGTCCATACGATGGAACCCTGGATGGCCAACTGGCTAACGCGTTTTGAGGCCACAACCACTTCCTCAGAGCGTTTGTTTTTCTATTTGCATTCAGTGAAGTTGGACCACCTCGGTCAGTTGAGGGCAGCAAGCAGTGCATGATTCAGAACATTCTTACTGGTTCCGCCGAGTCCATTCCCAGCGCAGGAGAATAGTGTTTTGCTTTGTTTTGGCCAATTTGTTGTTGGGCAGGTTAAAAAACGCAAAATGTGTCAAAAACGCACTACAAACATTTCTGCAGCATCTCCATTGAAGTCTATTGAACCAAAAAACCCAAAGTTTTGCATTTAAAAAAGTCCCTGACCCTTTCCAAAAGCGCAGCGGCTGAAAAAAACGTAGATGTGAATGTGTCCCATAGGAAACCATGTTAAATGGACTGTAGTGCGTTACTGCAGAAAGCACCAAAAAAAAACCCACATAGGTGTGAACCAGGCCTTACACCCTGAAAAACACGGCTTCTGTGTTTACTGCTCCCAATAAACTGACATCACAGCCTACGCAGAACAAAAAAGGGGAGTGGCTAAACATAGGAGCTCCAGGACAGCTAGAAAATAAGTTTGTCTTTATGGAAATGTTTATCTTTTTTATTTCTTACCTCTGTGTGATCAAAGGTTTCGGCTTCCATTACCAACAGGAAGTGAAGTATGGGTTGCAAAGCATGTTTTCTGCTAAATTTAACCACCTCACATCTGGCCGTTGTATATAAACAGCCGGACGGTGGCAGTGCATGGTCGGGTGGCCATTTATAAACGGCCTCCCCGCCCCCTGCTTGTGTGCACTCCCTGGGAGCACGCAGCACCGCGATACGGTGCCTGCTGAGTCCAGAGGACACAGTGGAACACCGATCGTCGTACGGGACCTCTGTGCGAGGTCCCGATCATGTGATCACTGATTGGCCAATCAGTGATCACA